TAGTTCAAGAGGCAGGCTCTGTGTGAGTTGGGACACAAGGAAGTGTAAAATTGAAGAAGTGCATCCTATGGACATCTTCAATAAGTTTACAAACTTCTGGATCGATATGGTTATTAGGAGTGGGATAGAACTTCAATACAGAAATACAATACTTATTTTTAATTTTTGACTATAGATGCCCTTTAACCAGGTAAACATTAATGTCAAATCACACCAAACTTTAAAAAAAAACATAAATTGCCAGTTGGTATAAACGTGTTGGGTAGGGATCTGAAAATGGCTGGGTCTGACAACTGTCATGCCTAGAATGTCTCATGACAAGGGATAAAGGTGGACGGGTTCAATGCTGCAAACAGCGTGCGCTCCTGGTTTAAAAAACGCACATCATCACCACTTCACATATGAAATCTACGTACTATGGATTGGGGACGGTGGGAAATGGAAGCTGAAGTCACAATGCAGCAAAGAAAAAAACAAGTTCACATTTATGGATCAATATTTGGTGTACGAAGTCTAAGGGGTAAATGCTGAGCTTCTTTTCAAACAGAAAAAAAAAAAGAACTGGAATGCACGAAATAACATGCTTATTGAAGAAAATAAAAACTGAGTCACCTATTGATCTCCAGGCTTTCCACACTCAGTCTTTTCACACAAACACCTTTTGATAACAACCCCTTCAAAATCAATGCTGCAATTTGTTTTATGAACTTTTATGTAAGCGTTCTAAGATATATTATTTATTCCTTGCTAAGTGAAAATAACAAACAGCCGCAACACACCGGGGACAGAACATAAAGAAATGAAAAAGAAAAATAGATGCATCCCTCCGGTATAGGTGTCCCTATAGTACAGAGATGTCCAGTTAGGAGGAAGATTACTTAAAGCAAAAAGGTTTTAAAGCTTTTTCAAATGCTGATGAAATCACTTACAATGAATGCCGCTTCTTAAAGGAGAACTATGGGGTCAGTGTTTTTCCCCATAGTTCTCCTTAGGGTAACGGGAGGACACAAACTAGCGTCCTCCCATTACACTAAGCTCAGTATACCGCGAGCTACAGGCCGCGGTATACTGAGACGCCACAGCCGAAGCGGATCCCGACATGGACGTCGAGATCCGCCCAGCTGCGCGAGTGACAGCTGGCTCTGCCTATCTAGAGGCAGAGCCAGCTGTACCCGCCCCCTCCCCCGTCCGTTCCGCCAGTCAGCGCTAGCAGATCGGAGCGGGGAGAGGGGAATCCTGCCTCTCCCCCTGTCACGGCAGAGAGCCGTGACAGGATCAAGAGGTGAGCGAACCCGGTATGTGTTCGCTCACCTCCCGATCTACTGAGCCGACCTGTGACAGTCTTTGTCTGGAAATCACTCATCTCATAGTTCTCCTTTAATGTTTAAAAGTTTTAGTTTCCTGCAGAATCAGCTGGCCCCCTGATATCCTGTTTTATGGGGGGGGGCTCCTTTCCCTTGCAGCATACTATGGAGCCACCCTTGTGTGTGCTGGTAAGCTGTGTGTGTCTCCACAAACATACAATCGATAATACGAAATCACCTGCACTCCATGCAGCGTACAGACCTCAAGTAAGAGGTTGGTGCTTGAAGTGACAACATGGATGGCGCAGTGTCAGATACAATCCATAATAGAAGTCACCAGCACTCGATGATATGTGCAAGAAGTAAAGCACTTTTTATTCAATCGTCACATGCGTCAAACAGCCAACGTTTCGGGGACACACGCAGGGACCCTTCTTCTGGGCGACATAGAGACCATCATCGAGTGCTGGTGACTTCTACTATGGTCCACAAACATACAGACACAGCAAGACATCCA